TAAAAAGAACAGCGGGGGGGGGGGGGGAAATGGGGGAGGGAAAAACCCAGGCCGCCATTTTCCGTCCAATTCCCGCTGCCGCCGTTCCGCTGTTCTAGGGCACCTTCCAGGTCCAGGACCAGGGCTCACCCGATAGGGCAGGCGACCACCAGGGGCTTCTAGGGCACCCAGGTATCCAAGATGTTAAAAGACGCCAACCGTCCGCGTCTCGCCGCCGCCGCCGCCCTCGCTCGATGGATCAGCTGTTGGGCTGCTCAGCTGTTAGGCGCAAGGGAGGCTGAGTTAAGCCTTCGGGAGCGATGTTTTTTTAAAAATTTCGTCCGGTCCTGGAGATTCTAAGGTCTTAATGTCACCCAGGCTCTTCCTGGAGACTTTGCGGCTCGGTTGGGGGGCTAACCAGTGCTTTTTCGCCAGATTACAGAGAGCGAAAAAGCCCGGCCGCCATTCCAAACCCGCACATGCGCACCTGAGGACTCATCACCTCAAGTTTTGAGCCTGGGAGGCGCGCAAGCCGCTCCTGGCGGCTGGGGGGAGGGGCAAAAATGAGCAAAATGCAGCCCGTTTTTTGCAAAAACCGGCCCATTTTTTTACCAAAAAAAGGGCATGCATACCCTTTAGGAGGCTGCAAAGTGTTCCTGGGGACTGGGGGAGGGGCAAAAACAAGCACAAAATGGCCCGCCTTTTGCTCCTTTTTTGTTTCTCCAGTTCCCAGGAGCACTTTGTAGGCCTTCCAAACCCTCTGCACAAATCTTTAAATCTATCTAATAAGAAATCTTTTCTTGTTCTGCAGAATTTAAGCAGAAAGAAGAAACCACAATTCGGAGCAGGAACAAGATTCAGATCAGCATACAGGAAGATCCCTGGAACCTCCCACTTCGCATTAAAAATCTTGTTGATACCATTCAGAAATATGTGGAAGGTTTGTGAATTGAAAGCTGGAAAAGAGCTGTTAAAAATTTCCATGTTATAAAGAAAGTAGTAGAGAAGGTTGGGATCAGAAGGAGTAGGGTAACTAAATAAATAATGGAAAATTGCTGATAAGATCTTCGTAACTAGAATATGAAGGTAGATTGAATCTTAGGAACAGAAAAGGAAGTTGCCATAATCTATTTCAATATTATTTCTTATTCAACTGTTATGGGAATTAATTTTAGCATTTTGTTTGTTATACACTTATGTCTACACCTAGTACAAAACTACAGTTCAAAATCATAGCATCATCTCTGTGAGGTAGGTTGGACTAAAAGAGCGCATACTCAATAAGTGTGACTCAGTGATGGGTGCCGGATCCCATTGCAACCAGTATGCTGCAACGGGGCCCGGCATCCACCACATGCACACGCATGCGTAGTTACCATCTGTGACGCTGCAAATGCTTATTGGAGCGTCGCATAGGTGCCGTACACTTCGTGCATGTGCACGAAAGCCCTGATCGGCTCAAATACAGGTAAGGATGGCAGGCAGGCGGGCCCTCTGGAGCACCGTACCGGAACGGTACCTGGTGCTCCCAGCAGGCAATGGTATGCCCGTATCGGGGCATACTGGTCATATCCCACCACTGGTGTTTAAGTTTAATTTTATTTATAGGCCGCCCAATCCCGAAGGGTAGGACACACGACATGTGTGACTAATAGAAGACTAAAACTAGGTTTCTCTGCTCTATCTGAAAATGCCTGGAATTAAATATTAATATTCATTAGTATTAGCTAATTCCAGAAATGGATTCTACCACAGAGCTATGGCCCCTTCATCTGTAAATTTTATGAATTCTGGTGGCATCAGTCTTTGCAGTCCTTAGACTGGTGATAGCGAACCTATGTCTATGAGCACGTTAGCTGTCGCCCCAGCTCAGCTCTACTGTGCATGCGCAGTGTGCTCCCCACTGTGCTCCCATCGAACAGCTGGTTTTTGGGTCTCTGCTGCACATGCGCCTGGTGTGGGACACATGTGGGAGATGCACATGCATGCGCAGGGCAACAGAACCCCCTGTGCCCTGTTTTTGGTCCCAGGAGTCTTCAGGGAGGTCTGCTAGGCCCAAAACGGGGCCTGGGGGGGGAGCATGGGAGGGTTGCACATGCATGCTCAAGGGGCGGGATATGCCGGATGTGTGTCACATGCACATTACATTATGGAGTTTGTGTGCGGACACGTTTTTGGCATGTAATGACAAAAAGGTTAGCCATCACTGCTCTAGACATTAATAGTTTATAGTTTCCAGCACTTTCATTATGGGTTTTATTATAAAGTACAGTTTCCCTATACTTGATTACAGTGCTCTCTTTCCAACTCTGCTTCAGCTCCAGCATCTATCAATAAGTGCCTGAGCATGCCTTGTCATTTCAGTTAAGGTGATTAAATTCTGCTTCATTTTCCTTTTCTAGATGGAAAGAATCAGCTCCTGTTGGCTTTGTTGAAATGCACAGGTAAAGCAGCTTTTTGCATACTACTGACTTGTCTTCTGTTGCAGAGAACTTTTCCCAAGCTCCCTTTCATCCTTCTGGCTAGGAGACTCTATATCACCTATAAATTAAATCCCTTGTCATTTACCTCATTACCTAAGCAGCTCCTTGATGCCCATTACAGCTGACCACCTCAACAGGGTTAAGAGACAGACATGCAGTTTGAGGAATATTTTCATTTCATTTCAGGGATTAACCAGTGGTTCTCAACCTATGGTCCCAGGACTCGGGGGGGAGGGGGGGCTCGTGAGGTCATCCCAGGAGGTCCACAAAGGCTTGAAGAAATCTTGAGTCGAGTCTTGGGAGGGGGGGGCATGGCCATGATCTGTGGCCTCAAAAATTATTTAAAGGGGGGGGGGTCTGTGGTGAAAATTTTTTTTGAGAACCTCTGCATTAAACCATTATTTTCAAGATTAATAATTAATGTGGATACCTCTATGCATCCTAATCTTCTTGCTGGTCTTGTGAAAAACTCTGTTCCTCTGGGGTGATGATGAGAGAATAAACACTCAGGAGCAGGGAGGCACCTTTCCCCAAATATCAAAAGTGTCATATGAGCTACCCTGAACAAGAAAAGCCAAAACCACTCTTGGGGCATGAATTCCAACCATACATGCTAACCCTAACCTTAGCCTATTGGTCCCAATTCTTGTCTCTCTTTCTTCTTCCAGATACAGAACTGCAAGTGAGACGAGATGTAATTTTCTGCCAGGCCCTGGTGGCAGCCGTCTGCACGTTTTCGGAGCAGCTATTGGGAGCACTCAACTATCGATACAATAACAATGGAGAGTATGAAGAAAGCAGTCGGGAAGCCAGTAAAAAGTGGCTGGAGCAGATAGCAGCCACAGGAGTGTTGCTCAACTACCAGTCCTTGCTGTCTCCCAGTGTGGTAAGGCTAGAAGGCCATTTCCTCAAACACAGAAAACCAAAATAAGGAACCAGGCAGTTCTTTCATTACTCATCTTCTGACCTAAATATATTAGCAAAGGCTGGGGAAATAAAACTGCTGTTGTTTGCAGTGTGGTAGCATTTGCATTTCAAACCCCATTCACACCTACTCAGCCTGGTTTCTGGTATAGCTGGGATATATGTGCAAAATCTCAACCTAGTAAGTGTGACCCATTGCGTGGTAGCAGCCTTTCCGTTGTGTTGAACCGTGCAGCCAAACCTTTCCTATATGCAACATATCATTGTTCCAAGTAATGGTCCCAATCAATTCAGGATTCTGAGAGCTTTTCTCAGAAGTCCATTTTATTGGATACATCCTATCGGCACGTTCATATGTGAATCCAACTCTTGAATATTTCCTGTGTTTTCAGTATAATAAGAGAGATAGATATCACCTACCCCGCTAGAGTCACTGGTCACGTTGACTAATCAGGTAGATGGCAGGCTACTCAGCTACTCCCTCTGGCTGTTACGAGCTCTCGTTGAGATTACCTTGATTCTCACAGGCCTCATCGCTGTTATGTCTGGCACCTGGGAGGACATTATCCCGCCCCCATAGTTCCCCTTCCCCCCATATGTATGACAACCAAGAAATGAAGTAAAAAAGATATAGCTTCAGCTAAAGTCGGTTTGAGAGTTGACACAACATATTGGCGGGTTGATTTCATTGAGGACCAGATCAGGGTTGTGCTTTACCTTGCGGGGACATGGCCAGGGTTGGGTGTGACAAGCTTGACATCATTCCGGTTGGGGGCACCTATGCACCCAGCACTCTGCATGTGGCCCTAATGGGCTCCATTTTCATTGGCAGAGGGTTGCAGCGGGCTGTAGCAGCCGAAGACAGGGCTCGAGAGTCTGTTTTTTCCTGACAAAACCATGGGCCAGTCCTTTGCTGTTTCCATGGCGGCCCCATGGGCCAGATCTAAGTACCCCATGGGCCAGAACTGACCCCCGGGCCTTGACTTTGAAACCACTGAAGTGGGAGAAGCTACTTTGGACAATAGCGTGAAGGTGATCTATGGGTTCTAGGTATGTGCATATTACCTTAATACGCATAAGAAGAGAGAAACTGGCCTTGTTTGTTGTGCAAGACACTCTGAAAGAGTTGCATAACATCACATTTATTCTTTTAATAATTAAGAGAAAAATAATAAAGTGCAGTTCATTGCTTGGGGGCAGGCTTTGCATGCAAGAATAAATTCTGGCAGGGAAGATATTTCTGATTGCTACTGCATTGATTGCAGACAATACTGAATAATCAGACCAATAGTTTAATTCATCAAACAGTACAACAAATTCATCTATTCAGTCTTTTCTGCCCCTTTAAGTGACAAGCTGTACCTCACCATATTCTGTGATCTGCATAAGTATGTTACATACATGTGCAAGAATTTTATCTCCTTCACTTCTCGAAAAGACAAGCTAAGAGCAAAAAAAGTACTGTAATAGCAACATTCATTGCTATTTTTTAAAAAAATTAGCTACATATTAGTGCTGTAAATGATAACTAGTTGTGTGAAGTGTTGAAATATTCTGCCCTCTGCTGATGAGAAACTGTATCTTGCATTGCACTGAATGTATTTGAAACATGTACCAAAAACATGTATAATAGCAATTTTCTTGAACAGAAAATTCAAGTTGTTGTTGCTCACAAATTTTTAATATAAAACCCAAATATATAAAACCAAAAATATGAAAACCCATATGAGAAATATATGAGACCTGTAATGGACAATGTGTGTTACAGATATGAGACACATTTTAAAAAAAACCACAGTAAATTTAAGGGAATGAATGAATATACAATATAGTCCAACCCGCTGCTTAGGCAGGAAACCCTACACCACTTCAGACAAATGGCTATCCAACATCTTCTTAAAAACTTCCAGTGTTGGAGCATTCACAACTTTTGGAGGCAAGTAGTTCCATTGATAAAATTGTTCTAACTGTCAGGAATAGAATAGAATAGAATAGAATAGAATAGAATAGAATAGAATAG